CCTAGAAGTGACATATATCATTTGTATTCACATTTTACTGGCCAAAGCAAGTCATATGGTCACTCCTAACTTCAACAAGCTGGGAAATACAATTCTGCTATGTACCTAGGAGAACCAGAATATTTATGAACAGCCCCAATTACTACTGTAATTACTCTTGGCTCAATCAGGACCAACTGTGGTAATGACTATAGAGTTAGCTTCTCCGAAAACACATGTACTTCCTTGGTAATGGCATCCCTTAGTAAATATCAGGTATTATAAGGAAGAAAGCAATGGATGCTAAGGAGGCAAACAATAATGTTTATTATATAAGTTCTATGAAGGCAAACTGATTTCAGACATCAAATAGAGAAAGCAAGATCATGAACAGATTGGCAAAGGTTGAGAAGCAACCACTATAAGAATGTAGCCACCTAGAGATCTGCACAGTAGAAAGGGCCCAGATCAACATAGGCAGCAAGCCCAATAGTGCATGCGTTAGTCTCTTTGCTGCTGTATTTCCCAGCCCAGGAGTGGGATCATAAGAAGCAGATCAGGAAGAGTAGAAATGACGAATGATTTGACAGGCTTTGGGTTGTTGATTGAGGTCTTGGGTTGTTGAAGTTAAGGACTGAAGAAGTAAAGGGGTTCTCCAATGGGTAGTAGGACCCAAATCAAATTTGGGCAAAAGTCATATTTTTAAACTAGGATAAGTCCTTGAGAAGGAACCTATAACAGAAACAAAGACTTGTGGTAGGTGGTACAGACAGATGAAATGTTACCAAATAATGAAAAATGGAGGACAGCAATCTGAAAGAGATAGTGAAACAAAGGCCTCTGTCTCCCACAGGGCCTTACAGATATTAAAAAGGTTTCCATGGGAGAAGACAGTGTCAGTTTACATTAGAGCCATGTTTCTACCCAGGGGAGGCGACACAATTCATAAAATAAACAACTCTAGTTCCAGGTTCAATGGCTCATGCTGTAATCCTTGCATTTTGGGAGGCTGAGGTGGGAGGATTGCTTAAGGCCAGGAGTTCAAGGCCAACTTGGCCAACATAGTGCGACTCCATCTCAAAAAAAACAAAAAAGAAAGAGAGAGAGAGAGAAGGAAAAGAAAGGAAAGGAAAAGAAAAGAAGAGAAACTCTAGATCTGCAGTCAAGTTCAGGTTTGAGTCCCAGCAGTGACTACAAATAGCTTGAAATGGGTAAATCATCATAAACTTCTTTCAACTTGTTTCCTCAACAGAAGAAAAGGGATAAATATGCCGCCTCTATCTTCCTCAAAGCTTTATGTAAAGATTGAATTAGACAGGAAAGCCTCTTGATAGACTAAAAAACCCTAGTGAATGTATGGAATTTTAATACTTGAGTGAGTCAGTGGTAGGAGTTGAGAAGGTTAAGGATATAGGCAAGATGCTATCTTCAATTGAATAGGGCCCAGAGGGAACTACAGACTGGAGATAACAGTAGGCTGACAGGCATTGTCTTGGTCAGAATTGGCCCAAGAATAAAATAAAATGTATTGATTCACATAACAGGAAATCATTGTAAGGGTAAGAATAGCTACAAGTGTGGCAGAATTTAGGAGCTCAAGTATCATGATTGGAAATCTGTCTCTCTCCCCCTCTAGTCTCTGCCTTAGTAATCCTTATAGAAAAAAAGAGTGGCTTTTTCTTTTTTTTTCATTTCAACAAAACCGTTAGGTAGCCTGATTGTCTGTCCTGGAACCTATATCTGGTCACTATGATGGGTTTCAATCCCTGCTGAATCACATGGATGGAGAGTTGGGAAGGAATAAAAACTGGGGCAGCAAATGAAAACCACTCACATTCACCATAGGAAGTAGGTTTAAGAGGCTTGTTCCAGAAGTGATGGTTGCAGAGAAGATGCAGGACAGAGGAGGGAAGAAAATCAAGGGAGGATCCAAGGCGCAGGAAGAGTATCACTCTGGAGAAAGGCAAGTTTAGAAAGGGACTTACCAAGTGCACTTTGGGGGATGGAGAGGTGGTGTGGAGAGACAGATGCTGGAAGACATCTATAAGTCAAATAAGGGGAAGGCAGCAAAGACATAGTTAAGAATTCCCAAAGCAGCCCCAAATGCTTTTTGAGAAATAGTAGCTTAGGAGAGAAAAGCAGCCACTGTCACGTTCTTTCTCTGCTTGGTGAGTGTTTTGTTCCCAACTATTGGTAGGGGCAGGGGAGGAGGTGAGAGGGGTGAGAAGGCTACATCATTAGGAAGCAGTCAGATGCCTAAATGATGCTGGAAACATGGACACAGATGCCCATAACATTGTGATGATTTTATAGCTTAATGAGTCTCGGTGAGAAATGCAGCAAAGAAATTATTACTAACTTTACTATAAGTTACAGCCTGTCACAGATGTGAAATGTGACATACACCACATGGTAGGTCCTCCCCACCCACACACTAAACATAAAGGCCCACCCTGTCTTGCCTTTTTTCCACCCTCCTACATACACATAATACCTGCACATAGGCACATAGCAGCAGGAAAAGATTCTCCTGGAATATTGTCAGAATCATTCTTTAGACCTCCCAGGTAGGTCACTACCCTGAAATGAAAAGCTGCCAGCCTCCAATTTTTGAAGCTGGTAGAATAGAGCTGATTAAAGCTGATTCTATACTGTGCAAATACTGTGAGAGGCAATTTCATTCTGCATCCATCCTCTGGATGCTAACAACTGCCATCACTACCACCCCTGATATTGGTACAGTTCCAAACATGTTCAAACAGAAGGGCCTCACCTCATGCTTAACCAAATGAAGCTATTACCCCACTTCTGATCCTGTACTTGAAGGCTTGACTATGCCAGAAAATTGGAGCACAGAGATCACAGTTCCAGATTAAGGCATTGGAAGGCTAGGATGAATCCATCGTATGACTCAGAGATTGAATCCCAGGAAAAAATGTAAAGGGTGACTTAGAGAACCTAATTCCTTCTGAAAGTGGCAGGGCGGGGGTCAGGGGGGTCTGGAATTCCTGAATTCTTACCTCATATGCATAGTTCCTATTAATCTCTCCTCTGTAGTTATTGCCAGGAAATCTTCTCTGGTCACAGACCCTAGAGTTCTGGTTTTCTCCCACATCCACAAAAGACATCTTGTACTACTCCCAGGTGGATGACAGTAATTATTGCACATAGTACAGGAAGTATTACTTTAAAAAGAAATAGTACAGAAACATAGAACATATGATCCAGCAATTCCTAGGTACCTACTCCACAAAGTTGAAAACAGGCACTCAAACAAATACTTGTACACAAACGTCCATAGCAGTGCTACCCACTATGGCCAAAATATGACAACAACCTAAATCCAGCAATAGCTGAATGGATATACATATAGTAGTATATACATATAATGGCATACTACTCAGTCATAAAAAGGAACAAAATAGTGATACATGTCACAACATGTAAAAACCTCAAAAACATTTTAAGTGAAATAGCCAGACATAAAAGGTCACATATTATATGACCCCATTTATTTGGAATACTCAGAATAAGTAAATCCACAGAGACAGAAAGAAGACTGGTGGTTGCCAAGGGCTAGGGGGAAGGAAGAATGAAGAGTAACTGCTTTACAGATATGGCCTTTTCTTTTGGGGTGATAAAAGTGTTTTGCAATTGAATACAGGTGGGAGATACACAATACTGTGAATATACTAAATGCCACAGAATTGTTCACTTTAAAATGGTTAATTTTAAATTTCACCACACATGCAAAAAAAGTGGGGGAATACCAACTCAGCTGGCTTACACATTTATACCCCCATACCCTCCTTTTTTTCTACCTGAAGGTGAAGGTGGATCAGTCATTATGAAGCAATAAGCATTTGCCAAAGCAGGCTGAGCAGAAAGATAAAAGGAACCTGGGTCTTGAATATGATGAAGGCAACCACAAAACCACCATTTTTTTATGAACAAAATAAAACTCCTAGATTTAAAAACAAAACAGCACAATCTTTGTTCTTTACAAATGTCCTCTTTAAAGAGTGATCTTAAGATAGACTAAGCGAAAAAATTAATGTGCAAGTCTTAGGCTAGATGTATTTGCTAGATGTATTTCTGGTTAAGTGGCTTTACCAGGTGCTGGGAAAATGCCCTTTGATCAGCACTCACCACCCATAAACATTCCAAACAGGAAGTTCTGGACAAAAAAAATTAAGACAAAATACCATCACAGACATTAGGTATAGAAATTATAACAGAAATGGAAAATAGCCCTTTATATAAGGTCCATAGTTTACTCATGGCCTGAAGAAGCTGCCACATCATTGTTTATTCATTCAACAAATAGGTATTAATGACTATGTGCCAGGCATTGAGCCAAACTACTACAGGGAGCAAGAAATAGCTTCTGCTTTCATGGAGCATGCATTCTAGTGCAGCAGGGGAGGATAGAAAATAAAAATATGAGTAATTTAACATACAATATCTATGAATACATGTATCTAGAGCAACACACTGTGCTTCCAACTCGCCTCTGATTTAGGACTGGCTCTTAGCTCCTCCATCTCTGGCATAGTTTCACAGCATGCTCAGGTTCCTCAGTTACCCAGAAGTCAGTACCTTTGTCAATATTACACCATTGGTCTCAGTAATTAAAAATTTCTCAGTTCCTTATCACCATTACTGCAGTTTCCTTCCATTCTATCCTACTTCAGGAAAAAAGCAACAAACAAACCATACTACCCCAACCATCCCAACTCACCTTCCCAATGGGTAAAAATAAACCAGAAACAAAATCCATTTGTTCCCAAGAACAAAAAGCCTACAAACAAAACAAAACCTACCTTTCAGGTAGAGGGTGGGGGAGGAGAGGAGGATGGACACAGCATTCACATAAAAAAAAACTTGTATATGAGGCGACAGATCCAAGATGGCCAATTAGGAGCAACTCAGGATTGCAGCTTCCTGCGAAAGCACAGAGGGTGAGTGGACTCCGTATTTCCAGATGGATTTTTATTGCCCACAGACCAGGAGATTCCCACGCGGAGGAGTCCCACAGGTCGCCAGCGTGGCTGTTTTGGCCCCCAGGGCTGTTTTGGCTGACTCAGCTGTTTGGCTGGCGCAGCCGTTTTCGTAGGTGTGGCTGTTTTGCCGGCGCCCAAACCGAACAAAATACACCATCCAGGTGCCGTTTTAGCTGGCGATTGGAGCTCCTGGGAGAAACAGGCACCCATTTATCTGATTTAAAAGGGCACTGAAACGGAGCCAGGCCAGGAGATTCCCGGGGAAAAAAGTACCAGGAATTTCAGCACGGCTGTTTCAGCCAGCGCAGTGAGTCACGGCACGGGAAATAATACAGATCCCGGCGCCTTTTCAACAGGCGACTGGAACACCTGGGAGAGAGTCGACCCTTCAATTAAAAAAAAAAAAAAAATGACGCTGAGGCAGGGAGCCAGGTGAAGGTGATCAAGCTTAGCTGGTCCCACCCCCACAAAAAAACAGCAATCTGAAACTCTCTGGATTGAGAGTTTCGCAGCAACCACAGCTGAACCCGGGATGGTCCAGCTCTGTGGGGGAGGGGTGACCGCCATTACCGAGGCATACCACCACTATGGAGGAATACGCAATTGCTGAGGCAGCCCGCCGTTGCTGAGGCAGCCCGCCGTTGCTGAGGCAGCCCGCCGTTGCTGAGGCAGCCCGCCGTTGCTGAGGCAGCCTACCATTACAGAGGGAGTCTGCCATTACAGAGGTGGGCCACCACTGCTGAGGCAGTTCTAACTACACCGATATAAACAAGACTTCAGGGAAGTTCACACAGGAGCTGGGCAGAGCCCACAGGAGCTCAGCAAAGCCTCTGCCTGCAGACAGTGACTAGGCTGCCTCCTCCATGAGCAGGGAAGCATTGAAAAAAGGCAGCATCACAACAGAAACTCATAATTGAAGCCCTAACTCTCCGGGACAGAGCAGCTGGGGAAAAAAAAAATGAGTTCTACTGCAGCAGACTTAAACATACCTGCCCAGCAGCTCTGAATGAACAACAGAGCTCACAGCTCAGCATTTGAGCTCCTATAAAGGACAGACTGTCTCCTCAAGCAGCTCCCTGACCCCTGTATATCCAAAGAGTCACCTCATAAAGGAGAGCTCAGACTGGCATCTGCTGGGTATCCTTCTGGGACAAAGACAGCAGAAGAAGAAACTGGCAGCAACCCTTACTGTTCTGCAGCCGCTGCAGGTGATCCCCAGGCAAGCAAGGCCTGGAGTGGACCTCAGCAGTCCTATAGCAGAGGGGCCTGAATGTTAGAAGGAAAACTAAGAAACAGAAAAAAATAACTTCATCATCAACAAACTGGATGTCCACTCAGAGACACATATCTGAAAATCAAAAACTACAAAGACGACAGGTGGATAAATCCACAAAGATGGGAAGAAACCAGGGCAAAAAGGATGAAAACACCCAAAACCAGGCCACCTCTCCTCCTACAAGTGATCACAACTCCTCACCAGGAAGGGAACAAGTCTGGATGGAGAATGAGTGTGATGAACTGACAGAATGAGGCTTCAGAAGGTGGATAATAAGAAACTTCTCTGAGCTAAAAGAACATGTTCTAACCCAATGCAAAGAAACTAAGAATCCTGAAAAAAGATTTGATGAAATGCTAATGAGAATAAACAACTTACAGAGGAATATGAGTGAATTGATGGAGCTGAAAAACACAACATGAAAACTTCACGAAGCATACACAAGTTTCAACAGCCGAATTGACCAAGCAGAAGAAAGGATATCAGAGGTCAAAGATAAACTCAATGAAATAAAACAAGAAGGCAAGATTAGAGAAAAAAGGGTAAAAAGAAATGAAAAAAGGCTCCAAGAAATATGGGACTATGTGAAAAGCCCTAATCTACATTTCATAGGTGTACCTGAACATGACGGAGAGAATTAATGCAAGCTGGAAAATACTCTTCAGGATATTATCCAGGAAAACTTCCCCAACCTAGCAAGGCAGGACAATATTCAAGTCCAGTAAATACAGAGAACACCACAAAGATATTCGTCAAGAAGAGCAACCCCAAGGCACATAATTGTCAGATTCCCCAGGGTTGAAATGAAGGAGAAAATGCTAAGGGCAGCCAGAGAGAAAGGTCGGGTTACCGACAAAGGGAAGCCCATCAGGCTCACAGCAGATCTCTCAGCAGAAACCCTGCAAGCCAGAATAGAGTGGGGGCCAATATTCAACATCCTTAAAGAAAAGCACTTTCAACCCAGAATTTCATATCCAGCCAAACTAAGCTTCATAAGTGAAGGAAAAATAAAATTCTTTACATACAAGCAAGTTTTCAGAGATTTCATCACCACCAGGCCTGCTTTACAAAAGCTCCTGAAAGAGGCACTAAACATAGAAAGGAACAACCAGTACCAGCCACTCCAAAAACATACCAAATGGTAAACAGCATGGGCACAATGAAGAAACTGCATCAACTAACAGGCAAAACAGCCAGCTAGCATCAAAATGGCAGGACCAAATTCACACACAACAATATTAACCCTAAATGTAAATGAGCTAAATGCCCCAATCAAAAGACACAGACTGGCAAATTGGATAAAAAGCCAAAACCCATTGGTGTGCTGTATCCAGGAAACCCATCTCACATGCAAGGATACACAAAGGCTCAAAATAAAGGGATGGAGGAAGATTTACCAAGCAAATGGAGAGAAAAAAAGCAGGAGTTGCAATTTTCATCTCTGATAAAATAGACTTTAAACCAACAAAGATCAAAAGAGACAAAGAAGGACATTACATAATGGTAAAAGGATCAACGCAACAAGAAGAGCTAATGATCCTAAATATATACGCACCCAATACAGGAGCACCCAGATACATAAAGCAAGTTCTCAATGACTTACAAAGAGACTTAGACTCCCACATAATAATAGTGGGAGAATATAACACCCCATTGTCAATATTAGACAGATCAACAAGACAGAAAATTAACAAGGATATCTAGGACTTGAACTCAGACCTGGACCAAGCCAACCTAATAGATATTTACAGAACTCTCCATCCCAAATCCACAGAATATACATTCTTCTCAGCACTACATCACACCTACTCTAAAATTGACCACATAATTGGAAGTAAATCACTCCTCAACAAATGCAAAAGAACAGAAATAATAACAGTCTCTCAGACTACAGTGCAATCAAGTTAGAACTCAGAATTTAGAAACTAACTCAGAACTGCACAGCTTCATGGAAACTGAACAATTGGCTCTTGAATGTTTACTAGATAAACAATGAAATGAAGGCAGAAATAAAGATGTTCTTCAAAACCAATGAGAATGAAGACACAACATACCAGAATCTCTGGTACACATTTAAAGCAGTGTCTAGAGGAAAATATATAGCAGTAAATGCCCACATAAGAAGCAAGGAAAGATCTAAAATCCGCACCCTATCATCAAAATTGAAAGAGCTAGAGGAGCAAGACCAAAAAACTCAAAACCTAGCAGAAGACAAGAAATAACTAAGATCAGAGCAGAACTGAAGGAGAGAGAGACATAAAAAAACCCTTCAAAAAATCAATAAATCCAGGAGCTGGTTTTTCAAAAAGATCAACAAAATAGACCACTAGCCAGATTAATAAAAGAGAAAAGAGAGAATCATCAAATAGATGCAGTAAAAAACGATAAAGGGGATATCACCACAGATTCTACAGAAATTCAAACCATCATCAGAGATTATTACAAACAACTCTGTGCACATAAACTAGTAAACCTGGAAGAAATGGATAAATTCCTGGACAGTTGTATCCCCCCAAGCCTAAACCAGGAAGAAGTCGAACCCTGAACAGACCAATAACAAGGTCTGAAGTTGAGGCAGCAATTAAGAGCCTACCACCCAAAAAATGCCCAGGTCCAGTTGGGTTCACAGCTGAATTCCACCAGACATACAAAGAGGAGCTGCTACCATTCCTTCTGAAACAATTCAAACAATCCAAAAAGAGGGAATCCTTCCCCAAATCATTTTATGAGACAAACATCATCCTGATACCAAAACCCAGCAGAGACTCATCAAGAAAAGAAAACTTCAGGCCAATATCCATGATGCACATAGGTGCGAAAATCTTCAATAAAATACTGGCAAGCCGAATGCAACAGCACATCAAAAAGCTTATCCACCATGATCAAGTAGGCTTCATCCCAGGGATGCAGGGCTGGTTCAACATACACAAGTCTATAAACATAATTCAACACATAAACAGAACCAAAGACAAAAAACACATGATTAGCTCAATTGATGCAGAGAACGCCTTTGACAAAATTCAACAGCCCTTTATGCTAAAAACTCTCAATAAACTAGGTATTGATGGAACATATCTCAAAATAATAAAAGCTATTTATGACAAACCAACAGCCAATATCATACTGAATGGGCAAAAACTGGAAGCATTCACTTTGAAATCTGGCACTAGACAAGGATACCCTCTCTCACCACTCCTATCAATATAGTATTGGAAGTTCTAGCCAGAGCAATCAGGCAAGAAAAAGAAATAAAGGGTATTCAAATAGGAAAGGAGGAAGTCAAATTGTCTCTATTTGCAGACAACATGGTTGTATATCTATAAGACCCCATTGTCTCAGCCCAAAATCTTCTGAAACTGATAAGCAACTTGAGCAAAGTCTTAGAATACAAAATCAATGTGCAAAAATCACAAGTATTCCTATACACCAATAACAGACTTAAAGAGAGCCAAATCAAGAACGAACTGCCATTCACAATTCCTACAAAGAGAATAAAATACCTAGAAATACAACTAACAAGGAGCGTAATGGAACTCTTCAAGAAGAACTATAAACCACTGCTCAACAAAATTAGAGAGGACACAAACAGATGGAGAAACATTCCATGTTCATGGTTAGGAAGAATCAATATCGTGAAAATGGCCATACTGCCCAAAGAAATTTACAGATTCAATGCTATCCCCATCAAGCTACCAATGACCTTCTTCACAGAACTGGAAAAAAACACTTTAAACTTCATATGGTACCAAAAGAGAGCCTGCATAGCCAAGTCAATTCTAAGCAAAAAGAACAAAGCAGGTGGCATCACACTACCAGACTTCAAACTATACTACAAGACTGCAGTAATCAAAACAGCATGGTACTGGTACCAAAACAGAGATATAGACCAATGGAACAGAACAGAGGCCTCGGAGGCAACACAACACATCTACAACCATCCGATCTTTGATAATGCTGACAAAAACAAGCAATGGGGAAAGGATTCCCTGTTTAATAAATGGTGTTGGGAAAACTGGCTAGCCATGTGCAGAAAGAAGAAACTGGACCCCTTCTTGACATCTTACACTAAAATTAACTCCAGATGGATTAAAGACTTAAACATAAGACCTAACACCATAAAAACCCTAGAAGGAAATCTAGGCAAAACCATTCAGGACATAGGCATAGTCAAGGACTTCATGACCAAAACATCAAAAGCATTGACAACAAAAGCCAAAATAGACAAATGGGACCTCATCCAACTCCACAGCTTCTTGATGGCAAAAGAAACAGTCATTAGAGTGAGTCAGCAACCAACAGAATGGGAAAAAATTTTTGCAGTCTACCCATCTGACAAAGGTTGATAGCCAGAATCTAAAAAGAACTAAAACAGATTTACAAGAAAAAAACAAACAACCCCATTCAAAAGTGGGCGAA